TACTCCCTCTTCTCGTCAGTTTGCTTTGTCCTTGTCCTCTATATCTCTACCCAGGTCATATGAGGAGGCCGTATTAGATCCTGCTTGGAAACATGCTATGGATGAGGAGATGGATGCACTTATTTCTAGAGGTACTTGGGATCTTGTATCTTCTCCGACGGGCGCTACTGTAGTTGGCTGTCGGTGGGTTTATACCTTGAAGTATCGCACCGATGGTTCGATTGATCGTTATAAAGCTCGTCTTGTTGCTAAGGGATATACTCAAACCTATGGGGTCGATTATCTTGAGACGTTCTCTCCCGTAGCCCGTCTCAATTCCATTCGCCTACTTTTCTCAATGGCTGTTAATCTGGACTGGACAATGTTTCAACTGGATGTCAAAAATGCCTTTCTGTATGGTGACTTGCAGGAGGAAGTCTATATGGAGCAACCTCCGAGGTATGTTGCTCAGGGGGAGAATATGGTCTGTAAGCTTAACAAGGCTATTTATGGTCTCAAACAGAGTCCACGGGCATGGTTTGAGAAATTTAGTACTGCTATATCTGGTGTCGGTTTCAAACGATGTCAGTCTGATCACTCCGTCTTTATCCGGCGCACTACATCTGGTCTGGTGGTTCTGGCAGTATATGTTGATGACATCCTGCTAACTGGGAGTGACCTTGTTGCCATAGGAGAGACTAAGGAGTACCTTTCACGTCACTTTGTGACCAAAGATATGGGAAAACCCAAATACTTTCTTGGGATTGAGATTGCATATCAAAAGGATCGTTTACTTCTATCTCAAAGGAAATATGTATTGGACCTATTAGAAGAAATGGGCCTTTTGGGGTGTAAGCCAGCAAACACTCCCATGGAAGTGAATGTGGACTTGTGGCGTGATAATAGTCCTCTCCTAGATGATGCAGGCCGATATAGGAGATTGATTGGCAAGTTGATCTATCTTACTGTGACCAGACCTGATATTACCTTTGCAGTGGGAGTATTGAGCAGGTTTATGCATATACCTAGAGAGGTTCACTGGACTGCTGCTCTAAGAATTTTGGCTTATGTTAAAAGCTGTCCGGGAAAAGGATTACTGTATAAGAAACATGGACATTTACACATCTCTGCCTATTCTGATGCTGGGTATGCGGGAGATATAGGAGATAGAAAGTCTATTTCTGGATTTTGCACCTTTATTGGAGGAAATCTGGTTACTTGGAGGAGCAAGAAACAAGATGTAGTATCTCGATCTAGTGCAGAAGCAGAATACAGGGCTATGGCTCATACTGTTTGTGAGATGATATGGCTACAGAAGCTGCTGACCGAGCTTGGTTTCTCGCAGCCTGGATCTATGCCTATGCATTGTGATAATCAATCTGCTATCCACATTGCAAAGAATCCAGTGTTTCATGAGAGAACTAAGCACATTGAAGTTGATTGTAATTTTGTCAGAGATGCTTGGGAAAAGAAAGTGATATCTCTTAAGTTCACTCCGTCTTCGGAACAGTTAGCTGACATTCTCACTAAAGCTACTTCACCTAATGTGTTTTCCATTCTATGTAACAAGCTGGGCATGATTGATATATATGCTCCAGCTTGAGGGGGAGTGTTAGAATTAGTTCTTGGGTTATCGGGTTAGGGCCCATTAACCCATTAGCCTATTACCTATATGTAACCCTATATATACCCATGGAGATGAATGAAATGGCCAAGCCATCTGATTTCTTAGTTTCAACAAAGCTAATTAAATTACAGAAGGAAAAAATCTTCTAACTAAACTCATGCTCATTAATCCTATTGAGGCACTAAATTAAACAATTCGTTATCTAGCACACTCTGCATAAAAGAATTTCATGGGATCGGGTTCGTTTAGGCATTTCATCAAACATTTATTGTTCCCTTCACTGAAACTAGCTAAATTACAGAAGCAAGAAGTCTTTTAATGAATCCACATTTATTCATTAATGGCTCAAAATCTTAATTAAAAAAAGAAGGACGATGTGAACTTTACATGAGATGACAGATGAGGCGGTGCAATGATCATCGGCTTGCCGCAATTTCTCATTGGCGTCGGCGGTGGGACGAGGTTTATAGGAGGAAGAAAGACATTTGTGCAATCGAGATGGAGGGATTTGGGGTTTTAAGGATTCGATTTGGGATTTGTCTCTTTTTAGGAGAAAGAAATGGTAAAATTGTACCCTCGTCAATGTACAAAGCTAAATAAATCCCTCCTATATACCCTTCAAATTATGGATATTTGTAATAGGCCTTCCAAATTTTGCTATTTGCAAAACTACCCCTCATATTATCAAAAATTTTGAAGCCTACCCTTAAAATCAACAAATCGTCAAGTTGGTGTTAAGCATTTGACTTATATATGGTCATTATGGACGGGGGTATTATGGTCATTCCCAGGCTCTGGTGGATTTATTTATGCAGGCTGGTGCTAGACTGCCAAAGAAGTACTTCTGTATGATGAAGATGCTGGGATTAGCCCCCAATGTTGTTGAAGAAAAAGGTATGATAAAGGGGAAGTATAGCTACTTCAGCTATTTCCGTCGTTGATAGAATTAATATGGCGCTTTGAAAGCAAAAAGAAAATAATTTTTTTGCCATTTTTTTGCAGTTTTCTTTATGTATATCTGCCGGATTTTCAAAAATAATTTTAGTCATGCTGAGAAAATCTCCAAGGTATGTCTTTCCAATACACTTTCAGCTACATTTTCTAGCCCTTAAACGCTTGCATGGCAGTAGATTGAAAGGCTATTTTATTTCTCCAAGTTGGTATGAGGCTTGACAAGAAAAAGTGGCTCATTGTGCAGTGACGATTAAGTTTGATAAAAGATTTAAGGTTCGCAGCTTAGTTTAGTTTATTTCGCCAGTATCCTGGCTCGAAGGTTTTATTGGTTTCCTTCATCAATATTTATGTTTTGCTGGTTTTTGTTGTTTCTGTCTTTCATTATGAATTACAATCCATGAAAAAGAGTAAAAACCTCGGTACTTACAATGTAAAAACCCCATCTGCCTATTTTCTTCCTTTAGTGTAAGAGGCCTCTTAGTTCTCCACCACGCATGAACCAAAATCAACCACGGCTACCGTACTCATTGTGAATGAAATATGACGCGCTGCCATCTCTTGGTTTTAGATCCTTCTGAGGTAGTGCTGGTGTCTTAGTTTCAGTGTTGTTAACTTGACCTGCCATCTCTTGGTTTTAGATCCTTCTGAGGTAGTGCTGGTGTCTTAGTTTCAGTGTTGTTAACTTGACACCATCAGGTTCTGTTACTTATCCTTCTGAGGTAGTGCTGGTGTCTTAGTTTCAGTGTTGTTAACTTGACACCATCAGGTTCTGTTACTTAAAATGTTACTGTCACCGTGTATGCTTCGTATGTGTATCCTTTTTCTAGTCAAAGGGCACATCTATTAAAATATTTTTCTGCACATTTTAATAGAACTAAAATTCGTTTGTTCCACTTTTTCCTCTTATTGATAAACTGTCTTCAAGAAATTGGTATACTTGCTGAACAGAAGTGTTCACGGTTTTTCAAAAACCTATAAAAATTTGCCTTTTGACATTTTGTGGCAAAGAAAGTTAGCTATTCCGTTACCAAATGAAACAATGAAGAGCATAATCTATCTATTTTCCTTTATTGTCGTTACTCGCTTGTTTTTTCAGGCTATACAATATAAGAATTTCTCGGCCATGGCAAGTTATGAACTAGTCGAGGTTGTTCATGGTTTCCTTGGTAAGCTGAACTGACTAGTTTCTTTGGATTTATGGTGAAGCTTACTCCAGTAGATTTTTTTGGTAAATCTTCTATCATTCGCTCATTTACATTTTTCTGGTATGGTATTGCAAATAGTGCTTATTGTCACAACTATTACTCTTGTGCAAAGCTTGTCCCCTCCCAAGTGATCTTCTTGAGCAGAAATAGCAATGTTTCACTCGCATTTGGTAACAATCTGACGGAGGTCTTTAGAGAAGTATTTCTACTGACAATTGTTATTGCACAAGCTGTGTTTTGGCCTTTTAAGGTTTTAGTTTCGAAGTGCTCAGTTTTGGAGTAGTTTACAAATCTTTGAGTGGAACTATGATTTTTTTTTACTATCTTCAATTTGTGTATGTGCCTGTGAGCAAGCGAGTGGTTTTCGATGTGGTATTTATTTATCAAGAGCCTGGTTTTGTGTTTGTACAATTTTTATCTAAAGTCAAAATGCATACAACAATTGCGGTCAAATGGCCTCACTGGGTGTTGAAATATTAATGACATCCCCAACGAACGCCCCATGCAATAGATAAGCATTTCGCATATGTTGTTCACATAATGTGGAAGGTTGTCGATGCTGCTGGCAACAGTGCAAGTCATGGCTTATATGTTTAACATGCATGAGAGTAGTCACAAGTGAAATCAGTATTGTCTGCTTGCTGTTGTTTTTTAAATTGAGATGGTACCATGTTGTAACTATACAAATGGTTAATGCGTCAAAATTATAAAACAAAATACTGACCAATGCCTTTCGCCTCCAGATATTTACTTGAATTGGTATGAACAAACATTCCCAATGATTTCATCGCACGTTGGCATTGTGTTTTCGCTGTTTTTCGCGAAAAACGTTGGTAATTGATGCTAAGTTTTCTTCACAAATGTTGGCATCAATTACCAACGCTTGCAAAACAAAAAACGTTGGTAATTGATGCTAAGTTTTCTTCACAAATGTTGGCATCAATTACCAACGCTTGCAAAACATTGGTAATTGCCTTTTTTTTAAGTTTTCTTCACAAATGTTGGCATCAATTACCAACGCTTGCAAAACATTGGTAATTGCCTTTTTTTTTCACAAAAGTTGGCAACTGCCAACGTTTGCGAAGAAACCTTGGCAATTGCCAACTACACTTCCCCTTCCAACTCTTGTATCAAACGTTGGGACTTGTTATAACAACATTTTAAAATATAGTTGGGTGTACTTTTAAACGTCGTTAATGACTACATTTTTTGTAGCATGTGGCTCTTCAGGTCGAACAATATGCTTTCCTGTATCTGACTTGAGCGTCAATTGTAATCTCGATCCGTCGAGGATTTCATATTGCTTGGTGTTGCCTTCATTGGCTAGGACTTGATCGATGAAGACCAAAGTCTGGGTTGAAACTGGATATCCTTCGTATTGTTCAATTTTCTACTGGATCTCAAGAACAGTATCGCAAAACCAAATCTCTATTTTGAACCGTTCCCGCTTGATGTCTCAATGTCTACATCCATTTTTGGGAATAATTAGCTTTTTTGTTCTTCAGAAGTGGCTTTTAAAGATTTTGCACCGGTACTCAAGCGTGAGAAAACAACGGAAGGAAGGCATGGGATTTCAGAGGGAGCATCAAGATTTTCTTGTGAAGAATATTAGAGTACTGCTGTTAAATATGATTTCCTGATCGGAATCAAATTATAATATTTAAATACATCTCTATATGTAATTAAAAAAACTAATAAGTATCTTATCTTTATTAATGTCGGGAAACAATGTAAAATGCTCAAATTATTATCTTTCTTTATGCTTTTAACTATCACAGTGCTCAAACTAATAAGTATCTTGTCTTTATTAATGTTTGGGGAGGCTTATTTTTTTTGATCAAACTACCTTTTAAGCTAGCTTTTTTATTTCTACATATTTGGTAAAATGCCAAATAAGTTTGTTTATAAGTCCCATTTTAAAAAACATAGCTCAGCTTTTGAAAACTAGCTTATAAACTCACTTAAAAAAGCAAGGTTTGGCCAAGCAGATTACTATTCTACTCAAATAGTTTTTATAGCATTTTATCAAAAAAGCCAAAAATCATTGAAAGCCAGTATAACTAATAAACTTCAAAAAATAAGCTTTTCTAAATACCCTCTTAGTTATAACAGGATGTTTTAATGAAAGAAATTTAGACTTTCCAATCTTTTATAAAGTTGTAAGTTACAGGTTTGTTAAGAAGCTAGAGTTTGCTGGAAGAGTAATTATTTGCTCTTGAGTATCCAATACAAATTATGTTGTAAGTTATAGATTTAATTATTGCACATATAAATTGCGTATCATATCTATAATTTTTATAGTATTTTTAGAAATTATTTTTTAGATCATGCACTGTGATAGTCACTTACTTGGAGATATGATCTAACTTAGAGTGTTCTTAAACTCGTGCTTAACCTATAACTAGTAAATAATGACTTTGTCATAACATGTTGTTATGCATGACACCGACATATGAGATGTAGTAATGGGTCTCAATCACCGGGAATGGGGATTCCCCGGGCGTATGTCATAAGCACATATTGCGATGTGTGTAACACTAGACTACATTTGAATTCTCTAGGACAAGTCACCTAAGAGATATGAAATTCAAATTATTACATGACCCCTTTGACTTGATGATATTGTCATTTTCGTTTTAATAATTTAGTATGCTTTTATGTGATGGTTAATTTTGTTTAGCAAGCTGCAATACCCGTAATTTTTCGATAATGTTTTAAATAATTTTTCTAGTATTTTAAAATATTAAATTATTATTTTTAAAAGAGTATTTATATTTTCTTGATTTTCTATAATTTTCTATGTTTTAAAAATCCGGTTTTATATTTATTTTAATAGTTTTGTTAATTATAAATTTACTTGTTACGGTAAAAACTTTTTAAATTAATATTTGGTTATTTATTGTTATTATTATTATTATTGCTATTATTTATCTTGTAGTATTTTAAGCCTGCAATTATCTGCCTTTTTCCCCTGTTCCTAAGAAACCCACAACCTTCTCTCTCTCTCCCTATCAAATTTCCTACCCTACACCTCTTAATTTCCTCCCCCATGTTTCCCGCACACCACTCCATCGTGTTTCCCCCTCTCCTCCTTAAATTCCTTTCTCGTGCTTCCCCCTGCATCTCTCTCTCACTTCCTCAAAACCCACAACGAGACCCCACCCCCCCTTCTCATCTTTGTTTCTTCTCTCTCTCTCTCTCTCTCTCTCCTTCAGTCCATTCACTGCCAGCAACCATCTTCTCCCCACTCTCCGCCTCAGCCACCGCCTCCAGCTACAAGCCCTGCCACCGCTTCCTCCGCGTCTCCTTAGCTCCTCCTCCCCAACTCGCCCCGACCAACAGCCAATCACCGGCCTGCTATGCCGTCTATTGCTTCCTGCCCTGAACAGCCCCGCCTCAGCCGTCCGCCGTTCAACCCTCAACCTGCCTCGACCCAACGCACTCCGCAGCCTCTCCGTCACCTCAACCACTGCAAACAGCCGTAGCCACCACCCAACCCGCCAGTTCGAATTCTTCCCATCGCATCCACTGCCCTGCTCAACTCCTCCGCCCCTCCCGCTCAACTCTCCTGCAGTAGCTCTGCCCAACCCCAGCGCAACGCCGCGACGCCTTCGCCCCGTCGCTTCTGCTGCTCTTTCGCCATCTTGTCCCACTTGCTTAGCCGCTTGGCGCGTTGCATTCCAGAGCCAGCGCCCCTACCTCCTGCTCACCCACTGAGCGTCCTCCTCCTCCTCAGCTGAGGCCGCCCGAGCTCCACCTCAGCTCGCCGTCCCCGTCAGCCCAAGCTCCTCAGCGCCACCAGACCCGCTTGCTCCTCTCCGTCGACAGCAGCGCCACCCGACACCCTCACCCACCACCAGATCCGCCCGCCTATTGCCGTCATTTCTACTGTAGCAGCGACGACCGCCTTCCCCTTAGTCCAAGAAACCCACACACGCCATCCTCTGCAGCCGTGACATCGCAACCCACCACCCGTTTCAAACCCGTCACGCCACCTTTACAGCGGCGCCGCCGCCACGTCCATAGGCCCTTGGCCTCGTAGGCAAGTTCACATTTCTCACTGACTCGTTATTACAATTTTTAGATCTGCTGTGAATTAATTATGTGTATAATCATGCTGTAATATTATTATGTTATAGGATATATTATGATAATCTGTGTGGGTTTGTTGATGAATAATATTAAATAATAATAATAAATAATATACCGCAAGGAAAAGAATTTATTTCAGCAAAAAAATTATTTTAGAATAATTATTATAAATTAAAAGAATTTATTTTGGCAACAGAATCATTTTAGGAAAATTATAATAATTTAAAAAAATTAGTTTGGAAAAAGAATCATTTTAGAATAATTATAAATAATTTAAAGGAGTTTATTTTAAAAAGTAAAGTATTTTTGATTAATTATAACGAGGGATAGATAATTTATTTTGAAAAAGGAATTATTTTGAAAAAGGAATTATTTTAAGTTATTATAATAATAAATATTTTAAAAGATTTTTATTTTGGAAAAGGAATTATTTTAGATTAATTATAATAAAAATTAATTTAAGATAAATCATTTTGGAAAAAGATTATTTTCTGAATTACATGGTTCCTGTTCATGATTTATGATTCTTAATTTTGATTATGTGATATGTCATGATATTATTGCACATGATCAGCTGTATTTATTTTCCTTGTTGTGATTGAGAACTATTAGTAGTTCATGACTTAGTCGCTTTGCGTGTCATGAACAAGACTTAGTAATATATGTGGGTGCATTGACTAAATTTAGGAGGTAAACCAGAGGTCTATATATAGGTCGTGTTTGTTGACTTAGAAAAACATGAGATGTTTGGATGAGAAAGTCTTGTTCGTATGATCGGATGTGGTTGTTGATTTATCATCCAGGCTCGCACCAGTGAACCGTTTCACACTGGGGTTAGTCTGTTAGGCCAGTGAATTAGTTCGTTATGTGGTCAGTGGGAATTTATTCCTTCACCCGAGTTTTGCTTGAGTTCGGACCAGGCTGAAATCGGATTGCGTGTAGTCCGTTGTGACGCCCCAGGGTTCACACAAGGCTGCAGTCCCAGGTAAAACCCGGATTGTCAAACCTGCCAAGAACCAACCACCGTGCTACGACATGTTTCACCATCACAATCACTATCTCTCTAGTGGAAATAATAAATAGGTGAATGTACAGACATGCAAATAACAGAAATAGAACAACACTGGATATACACAGAAGAAGCATAAGAAAATATCGATAATGAGCCCAACTAAAATAGAATATAAATATCTCTGAATTTGAATTGGATTTCCAATACAATGAGTCAAATAAACATAATCTCACAATGGCTCTCAAACCCTACAAAATGAAATACCAATCTAGAGTCTGAAAATAGCAACTACATGTGGAGTCTGCAATAGCTACAAAATATAATAAGTATCTAGATAGAAAACTAAGATGTCCCATCAACCTGCGACTCTCCGTGCGCCGGACTTGCTGCCTGAAAGAGGGGAAACAACGAGCGTCAAAGCGCTAGCGAAATCATCACTACCTCTCCCCAGGGGAAGGGGTATGAGTATATAAAAAAAATAGAGTTAGCACATATAAGTATGAAATCATTCATATAACAAGCAGTCAAAGGAAGCATACTCCAATCCTCAACATAAAGAAATAAATATTTCACCTCTAACTATATTCGTGTAGTCTGCTCTAATATAAGAGGAAACTAGTCAAATCGGCATAAACATAACCATCATCTATATCGGGTACGCCACAATCTCAAAGAAGATACCTTACTCGCAGGTATTCTATCATGAAAGCAAAACTTACCACTGATCACATATCTATGTGTTCATCATCTTGTGCAATAGCGATACTCTTGTAATACTCTTACTCAATCGCTCTGCGGCAATAGGATTTTTATCTCCCTATTCGGATACGTATAGTAACGATACTATTGTAATACCCGCCTGAGATGATACTCGCCTGAGATTGTCGAAAAACGTTTTAGATGCAAGGTTGAAAGAGATCTCCACTCCAAAAGCCAAAAACCACGAGAAATCCCGCTCAAAAGCCTCCAATCTTCTCCAAGAATCAAACTAGGGTTTTGGGAAGTTTGGTGGCTGTTAGGGTTCTTAGGAATATTGAGAAAAACGTGAAAAACTCATATATATACCAAGGAAAACGAATATGGGCTTTAGAAATCCGAAACTAACTCAAAACAGGAGAACAACTCTCTGCAGGTATCGCGGTCGACCGGCTGCGGTTGACCGTGGCGGTCGACCGGACTGGGCATTTCCAGTTTCTCATAAGTTTGGCCATTGTTCATGTTTCGACTCTTCTCTCTCTTATGTATGAACTCGTTCATACTCATTATACATGGTATCACACTCATATACCATTTAAAAGATATTTATCATAATTAATCATACATGAAATATATAGTTCAAAAATTATCGAGGTTTTACATTCACCCCCCCTTAAGAGGATTTCGTCCTCGAAATTACACAGTCGCATCACAAAGCTTAATAACTGGGAAAACACATTTAGAAGGTGTAATTCATACAAAGAAACCTTTCTGCACACATCTCATAGTATTAGCACAATGATATTTACAGTTAACAACTTAGAATGCAAAAATTCGCACCTTAATCCCTAACTAAAAGAAATTAGTACGTCGAGCGAAAAATCCAAACAAGGAACCTCCCGTATATACCATGTATTTCAAATGATTAAGGATCAGGTGACAATATCCTCATTCTAGTGTTAAAGATAA